TTGAAAAAAGAGAATAACCCAGTGTATCTTAGAGTGCAACTTGACAGTAAGCTTATCTTGAAACAGCACATCAACAACGTTAGGAAGAAGGCTATGAAGAGACTCATCAAACGACTAGCCAGTAGGCCTACCAACTGGGAATCAGAAAAGAACACATTGAGAGGCTTCTATTTACGATATGCTAGAGCTGTTTTTGATTATAACCTTGTGCTACAAAACATTTGCGGTAAAACTACAAAGAACTCAATGGACACCATCCAAAACCAAGCTCTTCATCTTATCTCTGGCGGAATGAGATCCTCACCGACACCGGCCTGTGAAAGCCACACAAATATTGAGCCATTAGAAACTCAAAGAAAACGGGCTGCTTTAGAAGTAAAAGAAAAAGTCTAAAAGGCTAGAAAATAACCCCCCAAATAGAATTCTCGTTGACAAGTGGAAACCTAATCAAAGACTAAAAAATGCAAAATCTGTACTTGACTCTGTCCTCAATCTCCAAGAAAAACATCACCTCCCTGAAAGACGAGAACCTCTGGAAAGAGTCCCCTCCTCTCTCCCACCACATCTCACCATAACAATGCCAGTTGGACAAGAGCAATAAAAACACATATCGTGTGGCACTAAAATATTCTGCACTTGAAACAATTGATTCCTATCCACCAACATGGATCCACTCATACACTGATGGATCTGCCTCTACGGCAACAATCAACGCTGGATATAGGTCAGCGATCAACTTGCCCAATGGGATAAAAAAGGAAGTCTTTAATTTTAATTCCAGCGGGTCCTTCTTCTCCAACTTCATTGCCGAACAACAGGCTATCACCAACACAGCAAACTACATCAACTATTTATTTGACACTAACCCACTCGCTACCACAGACATTGTTATCTTTACAGACAGCCTTTCAACACTAGAGACACTTATTGTCACCCTCTACCAGACACTGGTACTCTCTGTCGTAGAGTGCGGACTCGGACTCTTGAGCCTACCAAAGGCGCAACTGCAACGACTTGAGGTGTTGCAAAATGAAGGATTGAGGGCAATCATGGGGTGTACACGAGACACCTCAGCTGAAGCAATGATATACTTCCTAGACTTCCCGCGTGCAGACGAGAGGCACAAACTGGCACAAGTCCAAGCCTTTCTGTGAGTCAGCGCAGACGAGATGAACTCTCTACTTTAAAAAGTGGGACGGCAGATGACATCAAGACTAAAGAGGGGAACAGTGAGAATGGATGACTCAAGCCACGAACACCATCAACGCGTGTTGCCAGATACAAGACATCAGGAGAGGCAGGGGTTGGGTCGTGGTCGAAGATGCGCTCGGAGAGTACACAACGGTGAATGCAACATTAGATAGAGAATGTCGCGACTGGCCACTTGGAGCTACAAAACACTGACATTGAAATCCTGATAGAAGAGCATAGCGACCATGGAGATGCTGTGATCTTCACGGACGGATCAGTCAACAGAGGAGTCAAATCGGGCTGGGTCTTCAGTGTCAAGAGTTGATGGGGTAGTAGGGAAAGAGCAAAGTGGAGCAACTGCACTGACAACATCAAGTATGTGTATGGAGATAAAAGCCATAAAAGTAAAGCTCTACCCTGGATCAAGAACACAAGCCATCAGCGAGCAGTAATCATTACATGTATTTACTCTATGAGCACGCTACAGAAGGTACAGAGAAAGAGATGCTGTATGCGGACTGGAAGGCTACGATCAGGGAGAGCAGCCTGGAAAGAGTGGCCTGGGTCTTCTGCCCGGGCTACGCGGGGGTAACCTGCAACGAGAGAGCAGACAGGCTGGCTGGAGAAGCAAAAGTGGGAGGGAATTTGACACTCGACCCATCAACCGTCCTAACCGCTGTGTAAGAGAAAATTTGAGGAAGAATAGAGCGGATAGCTGTTCCCACACTCTAGGTAGATTGAAGGAGAAGGGGATCCAAAGAGGAGAGGGGGAAACACAGCCATCTGTGCGGACCAGTCCGACGGACCTCAAACCAGATTATATAAGTATAAGAAAACAGACTCTGGGATGGATCCGGAAAGGGGGGGGGGGGGATGGACATGTTCCGACTGCGGTGACCCCAACACAGTGGACAAGCAAGTAAGGCAAGTAAGACACTCGAGAGTTGGATTGATGTGAACAAAGATACATCACACTTAATTTGGAGTCTACATAATTTGATAAGTAGGCACCATATCAGAGTAGTCCCACAATGGATTCCTGCTCACACTGGGATACCGGGAAATGAAAGAGCAGATGCTCTAGCAACGAAAGGAGCTAGTAGCTAGCCTCCCTCAGCCTGATATTCCTACTGATTACACCACCTACTGCCAAATAATCAAGTCAAACCTCAAGGAAGACTGGATGAACTAATGGGCCACAGGTATGAATGACAGGAAGGATGATGTATGGCCACCTGAATAAACCACTGGTCAAAGATCCAATCAATGAGTTGAGGAGGGGAGATCAACCCTCTTCCAACTTAGAACAAAACATGTGCCCCTCAATCAACATCTCAACCGAATTGGAGTAAAGCAGTCTGCTGCCTGCCTGCCTGCCCACTATGTGACTACCCCTCAGAGACAGTGGAACATCATCTGTTCTTCTGTAGAAAACTAACCAATTTGAGAGGATGTTTTCTTCCCAAGCTACCCAACACATCTAATTACCTCTACTCCTCAAGACAACAATTAGTTAGAACAGATATATGCAGCTATTACAGAATGGTACCAAGCAGACGAGTTAATGCTCAGATTCTACTAGATCGCTAACACAACAAAAACAACAACCGGCCTACTCTCTTTCCTGTGTCTTGCTTTTTCTCAGCACTTAATCATAGTGTCAATGGATCTCTTTCTCTCACTCAACCCTGCAGGTGGGTGGTTGGTAGAAGCTCTGGTGTGGTTTACTCCTTTAAAATCTTTCCTATCAAACATCTATCGTCATCAAATCTCCTCCTTGTTTGTGTGTGTTACTCTTTTGTACTTGTAACTCTTCTAATCTTTCGTACGTATATAGTATATGACCTTATTATGTTGCAAGTACTGTAAAACTAAAACTCACACTAAAAAAACAGCCCTGTGGGTTGTTGAATAATTCAGAACAGTACCCCAATGGTGGTAGGGAAATTCAAAATTTTACAGATGAATCCTGTTATTACAACGAGAGGGTGGGGGCTGGGGCGAAATATCCGTCATAGCAGGATTCTCGTTATATTAATTCAAGGGAAATAATAAAGTACGCAAAATCAATGAGTTTGGAATTCTGTTTATTTCTTTGTTTTCTCCCCTGATGTTGATTTTTCGTGCTTGATCAAAAATCGAATTAGGTTCCTTTATCTAGTGCTAGCGATGTTGACGATCACAAAGAAAGGACTCTTGGCTAACTCGCCCGCTGTGTTGTTCTCCACCACACCCTGTGGTGCGTTCCGTCTGCAAGAGTACAATGGGTACATACCACACCCAGCCCACCTCGCACATTGGCTCCATCCATCAAAGCATTGTGACTTCTCCATCCCCACACCGAAGAAGTGAGAGGCTTGGTAGGTCTAGAGTCTAGATAATCTAGACTAGGCTGGTCTATCACTATTACGTGATACATTTTGCTTATATGCGCATGCCACACCCTCCCTACGCATTCGGTCCGAGCTTGATCGTTGGCACACGTAGGCTCTCCAATTCTTTGTTTTGCTAGATCACCCACAAGTTTCTCAATTTGCGAGGTTTTACATAATACAGTGGAACTCGGATTTAACGAGCTCGGATTCAACGAGATGAGATAGATTCCCCGATTTTTTCTTCTTCTTTAAAATCAGTAAAAATAACCCGGATTCAACGAGCAATTATATCAGCGAGCTTGGATACAACGAGGTCACTTCCAGGGTGAACAGCCCCTGCAGACGTGGCTTCGCTCATTTTTCTCCCAGAACGAACTTTATTATTCCCGGAAACCATCCATTGCACCTGCATTGTGAACCATTATTCACTTTGCCGATTGCATGCGACCAATCAGCGGCCTTTCTTCATACCAACACATGCGTTGTTGGCACGCGCACGTGTCTACTCTGGCGTGCGTCGGGGTCAGACGGGCGGCCTGCACACGTGTGGCTGTGTGTGCGTGTCGGGGAGGGGAGGCACTAGCGGTCCGGGCGTGGAACGTAGCAGATACAAACGCGTCAGTCTTTTTTCCCCCTCGGTAACTGATCATTATTACGATAAAAGCTAGTCTTGACGTAGATCTACGTAATGAATTGTGCGCTAGTCTATGGAATCAAACGTTGTAGTATGCTAGGCTCTTCACAGCAACTCAACTTTTGGTAAACAGTCGAGATAACACAGGCGTGTGTATTTGAACGAATCCGTCTTTTTTTTTTTTTTACACTGCTCATAATATGCAGGCATTTCAGGCACTACTTGTGACTTCTCTTTATACATTACTTGCTTAGTGCCCGTAATTATCTACACAAAACCTCATGTTTGCTATAACGAACACTCAGATTCAACGAGATTTTAGGTCAGGCCTGGCGACCTCCTTGCATCCGAGTTCCACTGTATGTATAATTGGCCTATGGGCTGTTTTAAGTGGACACCATTGTACCACTCTCGATTTTTGTAGATGATCCTATGGTCTAAAATTCAACACAACAAAAAACAGTACTCAATATGGCTAAGCTAAACCTGAAGACTAGGCTACAGACAAGCAGCAAATGGACACACACCAGACCACAATACTCGCACTCATACAGTATGCTTTCTTGTTTTAGTAGAGGTTTTACTGCGCTCACAACTGCATAAGGTCATATGAGCGCCAGAAGATAAGAGGTGTTACAAGAGAGTAACAAACATAAAAAAGAAGGAGGGGAGATAGGAACGATAGATGTTTGATAGGAAAGAAGGAGCAAACCACACCAGAGCACCCGCCAACCACCCACTTGCAAAACACAACATTAAAAGCAACTGGGTCAAACACACACAAAGGAGAACAACATTCATTTCCATGTACCAATTGCTTTATTTCTTTGTAAATGCAAGATGGAAAACGTTCATCGCAAAGAAGATTGCATCAAGGACATTGGCACATACCACATTAAATTTTTTTTTGCAACTGTAAAAAAATCAAAACATGTTATTTCACAAGGAGTTAACTGGCAGGCGAAAACCTCCGACAAGTCCGTTACTGTAAGATTATGTGGAGTGTCTGTTTACATACATGTGCGGCATCGTGGTGAAATCAGGCGCTCGTCAAAATAATGAAATCAAAGATATCAGAATTTTTCCTCCAATTTGACCATTTTAAAAATGATTTGTTTTTTTTGTCATGACACATATGTGCACAAAGTGTGTAGGAGTCTTGGCTGGAAACTTTCCCTCTCCATTTTGATATGGATACGTTGGAAGAGCTCATTTATTATCACCAGCAGGTCTTGAGGTCACTTCACTTGACTCCAATAGTAACTGGGGAAAAATAAAAAATCCAAAATTTAGAGTTTTCATTTGACAACGGAGCAGTGCTCTGACAAAACTATGATGGTCATTAAGTGCTAGGATTAAGAATAAAACAAGAGAAAAAGAAAAGCAGGAGCACTTCATCCCCAAAATAGGACACTGGGCAAAGAGGAAAAGCAACAAAAACAAAAACCGAAGATGCTGACTAAAATTTTGCCAGTTTTCCCCCCATAACTCAGCAGTCTGGGGGGGGAAAAAACAAGAACAAAAAAAACATTACATATATAGTGGAAACCTTATATTACAGGCCCGGTAACAACAGGGATCCGGAAATAACAGGGATTTTTAAAATCCCCGTTTTTTTCCTACTCTTTGTCTCTATTAAACGTTATCGGCAATAACAGGGCCTCATCAGAACCCAATCGGTCATAGCAGGGACAAAGGCTCTTTAACAATAATGTAAAAAGAGAGAGACGAGAGAGAGAAAGAGTAACGCAGTGATGGAGCAAGCCCATGCAAGTCACGCCACTGCAAGCACACGCAGCGGGTGAAGTGAGAGAGGGCTGTGGTGTGTTGCAAGATTCAATCTAACCCTAGCCTTGTTGGATTAGTCCACAAATGCTCACTTCCCTTGCAGTACTTATTTAACAGGGATCTGATATAACAAGACTTTTTCTCTGGTCCCACCATCCCTGTTATATCAGGTTTCCACTATAATTAAAATGTACGGCCAAATAATACCTCTACTCAGGGCCACCTTTAAGATAGATAAGATCTCTAGTTTTTGATGCGTCTGTAATTATGGAGGCCATACACGTCTGGACTTGCACCAAACAGCTTTCAGGTGGTGTGTTTTTGCTACTGTTGTGCAGTGGGGCATTTTTACGCACTACTCATTGAGCCCCTATGCTGTGATCTTCTGGGCCACATAATCACCAGTGTCAATGGTCGTGCCCAGTCCCAGCCTTTGCACCACGAGCTGAAGGCTTTTTCAGACCCAGTTGGAAATGCCTTTCACTTTTACTTTTACTTTCACTTTCAAGTGTGAGGCAAAGACTAAGGTGTCAAAACAATTAATTTTCACTGGGTAAAAATTATGGTGAATGCCACTGACAAAATCATTAATGGGATATTATTAGTTCCCGGTAAACAACAAGATCTGATGCTCCAGCAGCAGAGTTATTTCAGTTATTGACAAAGGCAAACATATTTCTAGAAAGGCAGCCAGTATTTTCACAGCCTGTCGCGGAAAAAAAATTGCCCGCTTTCACGACTTGTGTCAACAGAGAAGTCTTTACAAGGAATCAGACTTAGACTGCTCACCTCTCTAGCTTCAACAGCACAAGGTCTGCTTCGACTATCAAGGCACCCCAAAATAGCAGGTCGCAAGAGAGTGACAAACATACAAAAGAAGTAGAGGAAAATGACAATAGTAAGGATCAGGAAAGAAAAAGCAGCAGTTCCCTGTTGTAGATCAGACACAGTTATGAGCATGACATGAGTCAGCCCATTTACAAATCTATTATGCTTGAACGAGAAACGCCCCCCCCTTGGGAATGGCCTAAAGACACTACAGTCAATGGCACTGCTCCGGGGGGTTCTCTGCCCTCTGAAAGCTATGCTTCGATCTCTCTCTCTCAATAAGAATAGCCGAGGCAAATCTCCATCCCTTCGAAATGGGACGAATTTTTAAATCGCATCGTGAGTTTGAGGAAGAATTTTGGAAGAACTGCGGTATAACGTATGTTTTTCAGCAAAAAATCCTCGAAATCAGTGACCGCAAAGAACAACACAATCAAAGACGAGTCGAAACACTACCTGGCGGAGTGGATGAACTTCAAGTTCAACCTGTTCTTGATTTGTAAACAGTAATATTGAAGTTGAAGCTACAACAGCACGAGCAGAGACACACCAAAGACACTGCACTAAGTCTTCATTTTTATAAGTTTCTTGGTGGTAGGCCCTATATCTTATTTGTAACATCAATTTAGAGGGTTGAAATCATACAGATCGATGTTTTCATTCAAGGTTAGATCTCGAGTCTTCCTTACTTAGTTAGACCTAGGCCTACCCCTAGAGCTCTCTCTGGCTAAGTGCGGCAAAGGATTGCTGGCGATGACTAGACCTACAATCTAGGCCTACTCAAGCCTACTGAGACAATAGATCAAGATCTACCTGCGCATTTTTTTTTTTACATGTTCTTGTACTTGCACAAAAGCTCTTCTTCAAGAAACATGAAAGTAGAGCTCAGATGTAGCCCACATCACATAACATGGAATGAGATGAGCCTTTTAATGACAGATATTTAAAGCTTTCCGAGGGTTGGAAATGACGTTTTTCTCTCTCTCTTCAAAGTTTTTTTAAAAACATGTTGCGGCATAGATGATGAGGCAGCAGTTACAGAATTCGGGATGGAGGCTACAGGTTTCGCAAGGGAAAGTTGGAAGCACTCTCGGCACACATCGTAAATCCGGTAGTTTTGACATCTTAATTGGAATGACAGTAGAACAGGTTCAAAATCTGAAACTAAATCTAGATCTACCGAAAAAAAAAAACCCTGTATTTTAGGTAATAGGCCTAGACCTCTGCGGTAAGAGGCAGTATGTCTTCGACAGGTCGTGAAAACACGCATACATTTTTTTTCTACAACATGTCGTGAAAATACCGGCTGCCTTCTAGAAAATAGCATATATCGTACAAAGAATTAGTTCCTTGTAAAATAAAGACAGAAATATCCTCACAATTCTTTCACACACTCAACCTAGAAACGAAATTGGAAATCTTTGAAAACAAAACTCTGTGAATAAAAAGGTGACTGCAAATCAGGCCCCTGATTGTTAATGTGTTACTGCCCCATTGACACCATTAGAATTATTCAAGGGTCCTTCGGTGATAAGCCATGCTGCTGATTGAGACAACATCCAACAGACTGGGGGAAAAAAAACCCTGACAAAGAAACTTCTCCACTCAGGAACTGAATAACATCTTGTTTGTTTTAGTAAGTGTTTCACGGCACTTGCCGCAAAATAAGGTCATATAAGTGCCGAAGATTAGAGGTGTTACAAGACAGTAACAAACAAAAACAAAAAAGGAGGGGAGATAAGGACGATAGACGTTTGATAGGAAATAAGAAGCAAACAAAACTAGAGCACCCGCCAACCACTCACAATAACATCTTCAGAGCATGCAAAGGCGAACAGTCTTACATCACAAATACCAGTTGTTGGGTTTTCCCCCCCAGCATGACATTTGCTGAAACTTACCATCAGAAGTTCTTGGCACAGTTCATCAAGCAGGCATCAGAGACGCATCAGGGAATCTTAAGACTGTGTAGAGAATAGCACAATCTGTGGAGAATTTGAACATTCCTTTGATTAGTTCACTTTTGTAGCTCTCACATCACACTTCCCAAGTACAATACATAAAGAAAGTTCAAGTAGGACCTATTGCTTCTATTTGAGCAGCAGCCATTTCTGACAGGTTTTTGCCCCCTACCAATCTCAATTCTTTGCATACCATTGTTGCCTGCAAGTGTTTCGTTTTTTAGTTTTAGTAGAGGTTTTATGGCACTCGCAACTGGTTAAGGTCATATAAGCGCCAGAAGATTAGGTGTTACAAGAGAGTAACAGACATAAAATAGAAGGGGAGATATATAAGGACGATAGATGTTTGATAGGAAAGAAGAAGCAAACCACACCAGAGCACCCGCCAACCATCCACAGTGTGAGAACGGTAGTGCAGTCAAACGCGGAGTTGGAGAGGCCATCTACGCTAAATGCACAGCCAGGACAAGCATACTTCTGTGCTCATGCTTAGGACACACTAGAGTTTGTTCCTTTGAGTAGGTGTTTTACGGCACTATCGAATCAGTTCTGGTCACCACACTAGAGTACTAGAGAGTCAGTTTAGAAAGTTAGACGGAAAAGAAACCCACATTGACATGAAATGTCACTTTGGGAATTTGACTTCTGGCGCTGGGAAACTGAGAAAAATGACACAGAGAGATTTTTTAAAAAAAATAGTAGAGTGTTTTACGGAGTTTGCAACTGCATAAGGTCATATGAGCACCAAGGGGTGGGTGTCAACAGAGAAGTCTTTACAGGGAATCAGACTTAGACTGCTCACCTCTCTAATTTCAACAGCACAAAGTCTGCTTCGACCACCCCAAAATAGCAGGTCACAAGAGAGTGACTAACATACAAAAGAAGTAAAGGAAAATAACAATAGTAAGGATCAGGAAAGAAAAAGCAACAGTTCCCTGTTGTAGATCAGGCACAGTTATGAGCGTGACATGAGTCAGCCCATTTACAATTCTACTATGCTTGAACGAGAAATGTCCCCACTTTGGGAATGGCGTAAAAACACTTCAGTCAGAGGCACTGCGCGCGCGGGGGTGGGGTGGGGGGGTGTAAGAGAGAGATTGAAGATGAGTCAGAAAGGGGGGTGTTGTCTGCCTGTTTCAGGAGTAGAGAGCAGGAGAACTGTGTTTCTTAATATTTTCAAAATTCACTTTGAAACAAATCAATACATCTCATGAGCACCCTCAATAAACAGGATAACCAGCAGTGGGAATTTTTCCAACTTCTTTGTAGTAATGGTGTTATGCCACAACCGTGTAGCTGGAAAAAAATACATCAACTTTTTTTTTGCTCTGTAACCCATTGCTCAGATCAATCGGTAGGTTCTCAATAAAAATTAAAAAACCAGCATTGCCATATATACTAATACATGTACTATACATAGTAAGTCTATAAAAAGATCTGTGGGGTCACATTTGTGTATTCTCTTATCATTTTACTCAGAAGACTTTTTGTGTGCTAAACACCGTCGACGTAAAATTTGATTAAAAGAAATTCTTCTCACCTGTATATGAGTGTCCATCCATCACGATCTAATCGTGGCGCCATGAGTGTCCATCCATCACGATCTTGTCATGGCGTGGCGTCGTGAGTGTCCATCCATCACAATCTTGTCGTGGCGGTGGCCTCGTGAGTGTCTATCACAATCTTGTCATGGCGTCGTCATGAGTGTCCATCCATCACAATCTTGTCGTGGCGGTGGCGTCGTAAGTGTCCATCCATCACAATCTTGTCGTGGCGGTGGCGTCGTGAGTGTCCATCCATCACGATCTTGTCCACAGTTCAGGCAGCAGAAGACACAAACATTGTCCATGGCATCCCCAGCTCAGTAAAACCTGAGAAAAATTGTAAACCCGTATGAGTCAGTGTAAATCAAAATGAACTCTTCTGTAGGTACTGAGTGCATCAAACCTATCAAACCACTAGGACAGTTCTACAAACTTTTTAAAAAATCAAAGAGTCACAGACAATAAGCGATACAATATATATATATACCATGAAATAATAAGCCCTCAACCGCATTACGACATTCTTGTCTCGGACAGGACTGTCTTGTCCCACCGTCGATTTTTTGCATGTCAAAACAGATACCGCACTAGGACAGGACTGATCCGGCGCATAAGGCGGCTTCTTTGTTGTTGCCCAAGGCGGAGTTAAAAATGCATTCGAAAAATTTCCTAAATATTGTCCAAATAAAAAATAATAATCGTGGTCAGCGACCCGAAACTAGCAAAAATCACATGAGGAACGCAAGCCCCATTACGAAGATAAATTATATTTTTTGTGTGCATGTCTGTTTCACCATTCAGCCGGTTTAGATTGCATCTTGTCTTTTATATCCCAATCGCAATAGACGTAGAGAACAACAGCCTTGCTGTACAAACATGGTTTGCTTTCCACTGCACAAATAAAGTTTTCTATCCAATTTGGATCAACATCCATTTTGATGAGAATAGACTGATTAGAAGCAACCGAGCGACTGCAGCTGACAATAAAGTTGAGAATCGATATGCAAAACACAACCATTGGGGCCTACTGCACCGTGTTGTGTGTAGCAGCTTTGACTTTCCTGCAAATGTGAAACGCACCGGGTGACCTTGATATTCAACTTCACCATTGACGATCAATTAAAAAATAAAATTATTCGCTAAAATTTACATAGTATCGCATCAAATCAGGTTCCCAGCATGCCATTTTGCTTATTTTGAGACACTGAATCCGAATATGAAGTTTTGAAATGCGATAATTATTTAAAAAATTTTATGCCCTAAGTTTAATCCTGCGCGGCAGAAATTTTTTTAAGTGATTATATGTCACAATGCACAAGCTCCACGGTCTTCACAGCAGGCGTCACCAAGTCTGGGACAGTTTTGTCCTAATGCGGTAGGTGGCTACATTTCTCTATTTCACTCCTGTCTCACCGAGTTTGTAGCAATTCAGTATTCACAACTGCTTGGGACTCAAATCGACAAGAATGTCCTGTCCCAATCAGTGCGGTACATTACACTCTAATTCAAAGGTTTCAAACTCCAGTATCCCGGGATGAACTGTCGTAGTGCGGTAGAGGCCTAAGGC